TTTTTCTTTTCTATTTTTTTCCTCTTACTATATTTATAATCGATTTCATTACCACAATCGTACCGTCTGTAATATTCATATGTAAGTGTTAAACGTATAGCTGTCTAACTAGATTAACTTTTTAGTTATTTTAGATAGCTTGTACCTTAGTAAACATTCAGGTACCAAAAATAAATCTTTGTCTATGTCTACCGGTAGACTATTAAAAGTTAACGTCCCTCTTTTCCCTACTACTGACTCAGTCGAGTCGGGTTTTTATGTTTTGGTGTGGCGGGATGAGTTAGAAGCCGTCTAGTGTGCTGGGCCCGTTTGTAAGCCTGGATAGCGCTATCCCGGCGGATAAATCCTTATCCAGTGGATTAGTCGATGCTGTCATCCAATAGATTTATCGACAGGATAAGATTTATCCGTTGAATAGCGCTATACAGGCTTCGTACAACCGGGCCCTGCATGGTGTATAATTTTATCTAACTCTTCCGAGACTACGGAATTTTGAATGAGAGGAGAGTGGAGGATGTGCTTTCTTGAATTTTCTAATCTTATTGAAATCATATTTGCATTGTTTGACTTGAAAAAAAAGTTAGAACTAATGTTGTTCTGCTTGTATTTATACGGTCTGTTAAGTCATAATGAATATGAACGTTAAATTCTCGAACCAAAACAATATACGGTTTGCCCAGATACTACATAATTTAAGTGAACCTATACCTCTATAGATTATTTAATTTTATTGTTATCTTAGTTACATATCGCTTGGCTGGAGGTGAATTTCCTAATGAAGGTCTTGTGGAGGTGTTCTTTAATGGGACATGGGGTAGAATATGCACGAGCTCGTGGGACATCAACGATGCTAAAGTGGTCTGTCGTTCACTTCGATTGCCCCCAGCGACATATCCTATATATTACAACACTTTTCGTGCAGTAAAGAAAATAAAGTGGATGAACCGTTTGCAGTGCTCAGGAAATGAAACAAGCTTGGCAGAATGTCCTAATGATGGTTGGGGGAAAGTAAGTTCGTGTCAGAAACCAGCAGGTGTGATGTGTGGACATCCAGAAGGTACTGAATACACTGGCGAGTTTTTAATTGGTATTCTAAATAATCAGTATCATGGCGTTTGAAATTTATCGGTGATCTGAAACAGCCTCCTGGCTGATTAAAGTCTAGGCATGGCTAACTCACAGATAGAACCCTGAAATAACCTCTGGGCTGATGTAAGTCAGGGCACGGCTGACTCACAGATTGAACCCTGAAACAACCTCTGGGCTGATCAAAGTCAGGGCACGGCTAACATCACAGACTACTGACATCACAGACTACCCTGAAACATGCCTCTGGGCTGATCTAAGTCAGGGCATTGCTAACTAAATTATTGGATCAAATTGAAATTTAGCGTTGGGTTTGGCGGAGGGAGGAAAACCCGAGAACCCAGAGAAAAACCCTTCAATCAAACGAGAGACCTAACAAATTCTACTCACAGGGTCCTCACATGTAATGTCAAGTAAGAAAATCGAACTCGAGACCGCGGAGGTGAGAGGCGACTGGAATACTGCTACTCAACCCTTGATTCCATTGGCCATTCCCTGGCGTCCTATTCCTATTATTGTCAACTGTCTCAAGAAAGAACAAGAAAAACATTCACTAAATATTATTGTAAGACGCCATTATCAATCGACCCATTCCTAGCTTTTGTTATTGATAGTTTGAATGTTCAAATATCTTCAAACAATTCAAACATTTTTCTAGACAAGCTTAGATAACTCAGATCAGGGTTGGTTGTTTTGCATTTCAGTCCACCAAATTAACCTCACAGAACTGTGTGGAGAGTTTACCAGCCCTGGATTTTCCCGCTACATGATGACGCAGGCTCATTACGTGTGGACGATCATACCTCCCATACCAAGAGCCATGGTTTTGGTCTACTTGGAAGATACCGTCCTTTATCGACCAAATGTATTGTAATGTATCTATGTATAACCTCGATATTAACCATAAACGGTTGATTATCAAATTGCAAGTGTTCACTATTTTATTTGAATTTCTAAGGATAGCTAATGAAATTAGTATTGAAAGGCATATTTAATAATAACAAAATACAATTACTTGTTATGTTGATTTTTGACTTTTGACTTTTGGCTGCAATCAATGCTAACCAACTGTCTTAATTACAAATTTCACAGACAAAGTTCCAGTTCTATAGATGTCCTAGACGGTGCGCAGAAACAACTTTTCCATCTTGACGACAAGACGTTATATGTGGATCCTCTTGTGCTTTACAAGTCCATTGGTTTGTTTATTAAAAAATTGCCGGTAAAGGTGGTTTACTTCTCTTCATTTACCGTAGGCGTTGACCAGAATTCTTTTAAAAGGATCTTCAAAGGAATAGGAATTCGTGGAAGATTCCTAATAACTGATCGACTATTTGATGAAGGTAAAGAAAGCACGAATAAAACAGCGAAACAATTGCAATCCTCACACAGAACATGTACAATTGCAACAACAACAATGATATTTATCATAATTGACGTCGACAACTGACAAAACTTCGATCAAATCAGCATGCGCAGTTAATTACAAAATTCTAATGATCGAAGGTCGAATTGAAACGTCAGTTTACCGTGAGGACTTTATTGAGTGATGAAGGCCAAAAGAAATCAGAGAAAAACGGCTCTTTCTTGGCGTTGCAAGGCGTCTGAGACATGAAGACAATAAAACATAAGCCGAGAACAATGATTTTGGGATGGAGAGTTAAAGAAATACCTTGGAATAAAGGCAAGGTGTAAGTGTACTACGTCCCGCTACACCGTGCTCCATTGAATATATCAAGATTATCAAAATGCATGCATAAAGATATTAAAAATATAATTCTTTCAATCCTTTCTTTGATGTATTCAGCTCCATTGAAAGAAAACTGGACCATTTCTGCCACTAGTAACGTTAACGGTTCTTACATAATCGCCGTCGTTTCTTGGTCACCGTTCAATGTTGAGGGTAATTTCTGGATAACTGGCTATGTGGTAATCAATAATTCAACAGATGATTGGCAGAACATGACATACGTTATTGCTAATAATAGATCAAGGTCTGCCTATTTTGGATGGCTTGTGGGATACACGAATTATCGAATCCAAGTGTTTGTCGTTTTAGCTAAAGATGATGGAAGTTTGATGATGTATGGAAGTAAGACCGCTGCTATAAAAACGCCAGAGAGAGGTAAGTATGTGACACTGATTCAACTTACACTTCATTTTATCTAGCTATTTTGTTTCATATATAGAGTGGTTTTCAAAAACCCGTGAAACAAAGTGTAATAACTAAGGTGTAATAAATTGTAATACACCTAAAAACACAAAAGAAAATCAAAAGAAAAAGCGGACAATAAAGTGTATTAAAGTGTAATACGTTAAAGTGTATTTCACGGGTTTTTGAAAACCACTCTAGTATGACTATCGACTACATATACCTACCCTTAGGCCCAGGGCAAACGTCGAACTAAAGTCGATCTTAATTCACTCACGCATTGTTATTATAATTTTAATTGGACATGAAAATGCACGGGGGAACGCACGGACATTTGTTTGTCTTTTCCGGATTAATGCATTCACAATACACAACGGGAAGGTACAATCGCTGGACCCCTCATATGGACCCCCTTATGGACCCCCTTATGGACCCCCTTATGGATCCTTGTATTTCGATTAGCACCACAATATAATCGTTTCTATATGATTATGTAGCATATATTATCATAAAAATAAGTACGCTCGATACTAACAGCACACGACAAGGAATAACACGGAAGTCAAGCGTGAATAATCAACAAGCAGCCGTGAGCGAAA